AATTACAAAATGATGGTAAGTAATTAACATAAATATATTTATACTTTTACTAAACATAATAATCATTTATGCAACTCTTGTTTTTGTTACTGGAATGCTACGTACACTTTTAAATGTTTTACGTTCAACAAAAATATTTAAAATATTCGATTAGTTATTTACACTTAATTTGTATATGTACCAAGTTTGTTGATTTTTTTATTTTTTAGGTTCCATGAAGATCCAATGGAAGCAATCAAATGAAACTCAAGTCATTAATACAATAAAATATTGGTTGGTTAAGGCAAAAGAAAGAATTTGTAATAAAAATAAGAATAAGTATGAATTTTTGGAAATAAAGATTTAAAAAATGGTTACAACTTTCATTATATACACTTATTCTTTAATGTTGAATATTAATGAAACACTATGTATTAGGGTGTCTAGTATATGCCTAGATAAGCTATATTTAAATACTTAGCGTATACTTAGAACGTACTATCAAATGAAAATAGATACTTATTGCATACTGTACACATACTTGAAGTACATTCTCAGTATCTGCATAACACGTATAAACAACGTCACGTAACATATGCTTAGTATATTCTGAGAATGTACTAAATGCAGATAAAGTATATTCTCAGCATATGCGTATACTTAAAAAGTATATACTAAGAATATGCAAAGAATGTATAATTGTTATCCGGGAGATTTCTTACTGTAAATGTATAATATCTGAAACTTGAAAAGCTATAAAAAAGTACTAAAATACTGTACTGTAAGTAAAGTACTGTTGCAGATAAAGATTAATAATTTGTATCAGAAAGTCGTGTTTTAACAGGTTTGTTCCAACAACGATCAAAAACCAAACATTGCTACCAGGATTGTGCGCAGTGTGAATTTGGCGGTCTAAACAATCTACTATGCAGAATACTGGTATCAATGACTGTTTTCGGAACAAACCTAACATAACGGTATTTACAAATAATCTGCGAATAAGGAGACATTATTGGAAAAGTTTGTTTACACATCATTTCAACTGATACCTGTACGTAAACTTTCGGGAAATTCATCGAGCCACAACTCCATGTCAGTTTGTTTTTCATTCGGTGACAACTGAACTGAACATGAACTGAGAACTGATATGACCGTCTAAAAGGACCATTAGATAATTATCTTTCAGTCTTCGCTCCGTAGGTAGATCTGAACATAAGGGGTAGTTCATTGTTACGGTGCTGGCTCTATTCTAGTAGGATTACACTACATAAACCCCCTTGGGTGAGGCTAAAACATAAGAGATGTCAAACTGTTATTACAACAGCTATATCTCGGTAAGCTCACCTATATAAAAAAGAAGAAACAAAGAATTATTAAAGACAGTGCAATTCGGAGGACTTCTGCTGTATATCCTTGTATATCCTCCCGGTGGAAAATATAATTTTTTATTTCCCAATCTAAGTAATGGTATTATTATTTTATTTAAGTTAAATATATTTTGAGTTTTATTTCATTCACACATTTGTACCAAACTTTGCACTGAATCCGGGATTATTTTTACAAATTAATTAAACATAACGTGGGTAATAAAATAATCTTATTAAACTAGACCAGTGGTCGGCAAACTCATTAGTCACCAAAGCCAAATAGCAACAGTAGAACGACCGAAATTTTTTTTGAGAGCCAAATTTTTTTAACTTAAACTATATAGGTGTACATTATTGTTAACCTAATTAGGGTACTGCTAGGTTGGCCTTTGCTAAAAATGTCCTCAATCTGGAAAAGGATTCTTATGTGCGAACTCAACAGGTAACGAGTCGAATAGAGAGAGATTACATTAGAATCGTATTCTGTAGAACGGAGATAGGCGTTTCAATACGTGCCGAATTGAAAGATAATAATTCCACTGCTGATTGAAGTACGTTTACTGAGGTCAACCCTTCCCAACTCTCTCATCCACACTCGTCTTGTAAACTTGTTTCGTTCATCTCTTATCGTTCATTCTCTTGATACAGATTACGTAATTCCCCTTTTCTAGAGTTAGGAGATATATACAAGTGAAAAATAATAGCTTACGACCATGGGCGTCGTTACACAATTCAATAGGGGGGGGGGGGCAAAATTTTGAAAAAATTTAAAATGTTTATTAGTTGAAAAACAGAGAAAATTAAAAATAAAAGAGCAATACAAATTAACAAAAGTTTTTAATAAATAAAATAACCCAACAAAAAAGACAAAAAATAAAAAAGACAAGATACTTCAAACACATATTTTTAAAAAACAAATAGAAGGTGTGAGATAAAAGAAAAATATGAACAAGGAGACAGAGCCATACATAATATATAAATAAAAAAATATTTATAAAAACACAAAAACAAAAAAACTCACTCAAACACGTCGACGAACACTAGGAAAACGTAAATTTTTAATTTCTTCTTCCTCTACCTAAAATAATCGATAACACAAAACATGATTTCTTTTTAGTTTTTTGCCTATTTTCATTCATTATTCGCTCTGTGCGTGACAGCAGCGCCAACTAATTTATGAACTAACAGACGATATTTGCGTATACTGACAATACAATTTTTAATGGAATTAAAAAATATATATTTTGATTTTAATAAAAGTATATAGATTTGTAAAACAAGTGAAAAAAATTTATTATTATATATTTTTATTAGGTACTTCAGCTAAAATAAAAGTAATATTATAAATAATAAAACATAGGCAGGCTACGGTGATGTAAGTGTTACAACGCGGCATTCATTTGTCAGCCAATTTTCTGGCAAAACGAGACACGGTTTCAGATCCTACGGAAAGACCATGTAAATTTATTTGCACGGTTCTCTATAGGATTTGATGGATCCAGTATTAGTAGAAATTTATTTTTTGTTGATATGACATCCAAATTATTAAAATAAAATCACCATGCATTACCGTTTACGAATGGTGGGTGGGGTTTTCCGGGTTTTCTTTACCTGTAAGTCAAATGTCACCATTCATCATCTTTAAGTCGTCCCGGAGCGCCCCGTCAAACAATAATAATAGCCGTCCCTTTCTCCGCACAAGCTCAGCTTTTGAGGTTAAAATTCACTCGTAAGGGGGTGAATTATGGAGAGTATTATTATTATTATATATTTACGAGAAAATGTATATGTTGCCTAAACCTAATAAGTTAACATTGAAGAAAAGGTTAAATAATGTGGAAACAAAAACATTACCATTATATAATAACGTAGTCTCAAAACGCATTAACAAAAATAATTGGTAAATTTGTGATTGTAATTCATATTTTCTTTATTTTTAGTTCGAAAGAACCCATAGAAATTAATGAATAAAATTGGTTTCCTATCAATAAGTCACAAGATTGCATTTCAGCCACATACAATAATCAAAGGCAGAAATCTAATCCTTGCTCAACATTTAAGAGTTAAGGGACGTTGAACAACATTGTAAAATAATAATTTATTGTTTATTTAAAACCTTTCTGATGTCTACTATTTCCATTATTACTATTATTATTACAAAAATAAAGGTTTTTCTTCTTATTGTACAGCTATCCATTCATTTATTTGATTTAATTTCCATTTTGCTACTAAAAATTTATATAATTTACACTGTTTTTTCTGCTAGTATTTTTACAATTTACAACACAGCAACTATTATTGCTTTATCGCCTTGGGCAAATTTCGCTTGTGTTTTATTGTGTTTTTTCGTGGTTTTCAGTAGCATTGCTGCATTTAGTTATTGTCAAGTCAATTAGTGTCAAAGTCATAATAAATACATCTTTTAATTTACTTCTCTCATTTACAAAGAATATTTTATTTCTGTGCTAATTTGGTATCGTTGCAAAAGGAAAAAAATATTTTTAGTTCTAAATTTAGTACTAAATTAATAACTTGATTTAGGGCTAAATTTTAGTACTTAGTATTTAGTATTGTGACATACAGCCATTACGCGTTGTATAGTCGTCCTGCCCCCCCTTGCCCCCCCCCCCCCCCCCCCCAAACGACGCCCATGCTTACGACGCTCTCCTACGTTTTATGAAGAACTGCTTACAATTAATAGAGATGGGCATAACTATAGCTGAAGTAGAAGTTGGAAAGGCTTTTGCCTGGAATTGACAGTTGTACCGCGGAAATAACCGAAGTAAACGCTTACCATAGGCGTAGAACATTATTTTATAGATGCTAATAACAATTTCGGGTAATCATGTAAATAGTTTAATAAATTGTGAGAAGCTGTGGAAATTTTGTAGAATTATAATTTTCGATATTATAATACTTAATCAATACTAGCTTAACATGTGGTACTTTTTAGAAAAAAATATGGGACTTGTTTCTTCTAAGGTATTGTGATAAGATGCATTATCTATGACTAAGACACTATTGGCAGGACTATTGGGAATAAGTTGTATTTGTACCAATTTTATAACATTTTCGGTGTTCATGTCATCGTGAAAGTCATCAGATTTGTTGCCAGATTTAAAAATTAAAAGGTCATTCTCCACAAAGCCATTCTCCCTCCCTGCATGAACTATAATAAGTCTTCTGCCTTTACTATAAAGTTTTTAGATTTAAACGAGGATTTACTTTATCTATCCAGGTATTAGGACGAGTGTGTGAACTATGTAGATATGTTTCATCAGTATAAATTATGTTTCTACCTTTTTCAAGATACAAATTATGGAAATGATTTAAGTAAAAACTTGCCTAAAATAAGTTAGATTAAAAATTTCATTTTATTCAAAGTTTCATTTTACTATATTCAACTTCAACTGTATCTGTGGCCGTGCAGAAACTTTAGTCTGTTACTCTATTGGAATGAAAATACAATACTCGTGGCTTGCATACGCTCGCGTTCAGAATCTTCCACTCGTATCGAATTTTCGTTCCAACCTTATTATTAAATTTGAACTGAATTTTCTTTACAAATACATTAAATAAAATTTCCTCTCTCAATATTTAGTTTAAGGTAATCTATGGTTTAACAATAAATTTTATACATGTATTTTTTTATAGCCAACAGTTACTCTCTGGCCTAACTTCAAAGAAGATGAAGATGCACAAATTTTAAGGGATTCTTTGGACGGTCTAGGAACCAACGAAGATGCTGTTATAGAAATTTTAACCAGAAGAACCAATGAACAACGAAGACGAATAGTAACAGCCTACAAGACAATGTTTGGCGAGGTAAATACCCTTAAAATATATAAATAAATTCTAATCAATTCTAAACAATCTTTTATAAATACATAAATCTATATTTCTTTTGCAGGACTTAGTAGAAGATTTAAAAGGCGACCTTGGAGGTGACTTTGAAGATGTCATTTTGGCTCTATTAAAAGACCCTTTAGAATACCAAACCGAAGAATTACACAAGGCCATTAGTGGTATGGGTACTGATGATCCCACTTTGGTTGAGATTTTAGTTATCCATGACGACGATGAGATTAAACAGATTACTGAAAAGTATCAAGAGAGTAAGTTCTGTTTCAATTTATATGTTTGGTCATAGGTTTTTTCTATTCCAGTTTAAAAGATACGATACTGATTATCTAAAAGACAAAGTAATATTTATTTTGTTTCATCCTAATGTTCCTTTTTTTTTAATTCTAGATTTATTTTGTATTTTATTATATAATTGCATTGAATTTCTTTGTATTAAATCATATAGAAGGTATATTTATTTATTAATCATTCTTCCATATAAACCGGTTTATTTAAAAAATAAATACATACAGATATGTTAAATATATGATCCAGGGTCATTCGATAGAAAATTATCGGTAAATATGGCGGAGACGCCCTTTTCTTAAAAATACAGTTTTTACAACACTTAAATTTTAGGTTTTAGAAAGGAGAATATTTACAAATATACTACCGGAAACCTCATAAATTAACGTTTTTTTTTTTTTTTTTTATTTTAAATTTTAAAGGCTTATGAGGATCATTAAGTGATCATTTACGTAAACTTATTCATTAGAATTTAGAATTATATCTGTCATGCTCTGTCAATTCAAATATGCGCGGTGTAATTACAATTACAATCAATGAAAAAGAAATAAAAAAATTACCTTATTTTTGACATAACATTTACATACACTTTAAAAAGCACTTCTATAATTTATTTCCAGTCACATCTGATGATTTTTATTTATCCATTTTAATTGAATTGTTGTATATATTAATTAAATATTAATATTACATCATCTATAAAGAAATGACAGAAATAATTTTTGGAAAACTTTTAAACATAATTCTATTATTACCATTATCCAAAAGTTTAAAACAAGTGAATCTGTTTGGCTGACAAATGACACCAGCTAATCAAGCACTATCAACAAAAGGATAGCTTAATTAGTTTAATTTGTGTTGGGTTAACTGTGACGTCACTAGATTGATACTTCAAAAGTCCCGTACATCGATACACCCTTTTTTTATTACGACGTTCAAACATTTTTAATTCAAAAGATAATTTTTGACCCCAACGAAAAGCACTCGCTTCGAAGGCAGTTATAACGTGTGAGGACGAGCGTGCTTTTATGATGTAGGTATGTTTTGAATTCTGATATGTTTACAATAAGCGTTTTGGATATAAAATTTATAAAATAAATCAAATTATCAAAATGTCAGTTAGAAATATAGCAGGCGCACTATTATACCAAAATAACTCAAAGATGTATTCAGGCTAAAAAAGTTAGTACATTGCAGTTTTGACAGTTTTATTTTAAATTTAATAAAGTATGAAAAATTATATAAAAAATACATTCTTGCGTAATTTTGGAGTAATGGTCAACCCATTATATTTCCTGGTATCTTGATTTAATTCATAAAATTTTATTCAAAACTGTTTTGAAAACCTATCAGGAATCTAAAATATTGGTACTTATGTTAAGTTACTTTTTGTACACTTTTTATATAAATTTCGACTAATACTTTAACATTTCAAATTTCTCAATATTTCTTTAAAAAATATATTTAGATAACAAGGCTATTGTATTTAAATTTATTACCTACCACTTACCTATTTATTAAGAAATAAAATTTTTTAAACATAATATAAAAAATGGGTGTATTGATGTACGTTTTAAATGGGATAACTTTATAAGCTTACCAGAACATACCTATATTTCTAGAGCATTTATTTATAAGGTTTGGTTACGCTGGTGACGTTTTATGTTACATCTAACGAGGCATTTCTGTATAAGCTTACTGGAACATACTGTAATAAAAAATAAAATCAAAATATCCTAAAATTTCTTAAAATTCAAATCCGTTTATAAATCTCTAAATTTAAATTAAATTTGACATATGAAATTAAATAATAGATGAACAAGGTATGTGTGACGTTACCACGGTATTTGTGACGTTACCACGGTATGTGTGACGTCACCACGGTAACCACAATACTGTAACCAAAGATGTTGTGGTAAGCTCATAAAGAAATGTCTTAAAAGTATCCACTGAGTAACGTCACACTTAAATTAGCACAAATTGAACTAATCCAGCTATCCTTTTGATAGTACTCTTTAAATTTGGCGTCATTTATCAAACAGATAGATTCACTTGGTTCAAAAAAGTTTTAAAAACTTTTGAATAACACAAGGTAATTATGTTTTAAAGTTTTCGAAAAGTACATTGTTTATTATTTTAGTGATGACGTAATATTAATATTTAAAAATTATGTACTACAATAAACTCATTCAAAATGGATAAATAAATCATCGGGTGTGACCGGAAATAAATTATTAGCACTGCTTTTTAAAGAGTATGAAAATGTTATGTCAAAAATAAGGTATTTTTTTATATTTCTTTTTCGTTGATTTTCATTGGACACTTGGCAACACCGCACTAATTTGTATTGACAGAGCATGACAGATATAATTCTAATGAATAAGTTTACGTAAATGATCACTTAATGATCCTCATAAGCCTTTGAAATGTAAAATTAAAAAAAACATTATGGGGAACGCGGTGGTATATTTAAAAAATACTTTCCTTCCTAAAGCCTAAAATGTAAGTTTTGTAAAAAAAATTGTATTTTTAATAAGAGGGCGTCTTCGCTATATTTACAAAATTCTCTTAGTCGCTATGCAGTCCAAATCTATATGTCGTAGGCTCGCACAACTCGTTCATCTGCATCTGTTACCTTTTGCTATGCCATCCATTTGATGAACTTTCCGTATTCTTTTTTATAAGCCTCTTCCGATTTTTTAGGTATCTATTAACCGCGATTATGCCTTACTATTTATTAATAACTGTGTGCCAACAATTAATGTTGTGTAACAGATTGCAAATTTGTTTGTTTTTCTCATTTCCATGACAACGAAAGTATACTGATGTCACATTACAAATTCAACCATTTTACATTTTTGGTTCAAACTTATATTTTTTGTAGTAGTAATAATAACAGTATTTATGATTTCAAAGTGTACTAATAAAAAATAGTGTAAATTATTCGTGGATAACTAATCTTTTTAAAGACCTTATTATTGACGTTTACTTTACTATACTAATGTACAATTTCTCTTATGTTATGTTGGAAATGGGGTATTAATATACTGCGACCTAAAATATATATATATATATATTGTTCCTCCTTCTGTCTCGATGCCTATAACGACACTTCCAATCCTATCTTCTCAAGGACGTGTAGGATTTGGAGTGACTTCAAGTTAGGTAAATCTCCCTTTGCTATTTGATACGCTTGGACGGACTCTGGAGGGCTACACATTCAATCAGAATGTGCATAAAGGTTTCGTCCTCCTCTTCGTAGAATCTGAACTCATTATTTTCTACTACTTTCAGTTTACTATGATGTTCTCTAAGTCGGCAATGCCCGGAATGATCCCTGCTACAATGCGTAGCCTGTTCTTGCTCAGGCTTCTGATGTTTTCTGGTTATATTTACCCAGAAGTATCTTAGCCTGTCTTAGCCCCAAGAGATTAATCCAATAATCTGTTCCTCTACTGTCCAATTCTTTGTTAATATCTCCTAATATTGTTTTACTGCTGCTACCACAGAACGGCTCAGGTCCCACAAAGAGTTTGAATTTTCTCTCATCAACATTCTAAATACATATATTACAAGGGATTCCATGACCGATGTCGTGCCGTATACTTAGAAGCTATTATTAATTTAAATAATGAATAAGAGTGACTTCTCCTTGTTGAAAACAACATTATAAGTCAATATTTTATAGGATACCAACTAGATCGATAGTGGGAAAGTGTTGAGTTTTTGTTCGATTCTAATAATTATGTATGTCTCTCTTCCCTAAAAAAATCTAATTTAAAAGAGCAGGATTATCCTTGGATTGATTATACTTTTCACAGAGTAGTATTATACGTTTAGTTCCGTTCTTCCGATGTTTCGTTTTGTGTCCGCACGATAAGTCTAAATAAATTGGGAGCCAAGGTGGTTAAAATAAAAAAAAAAAAAACTAGAAATCAAAAACCAAAAGCAATATCAGCGTGAAGTGTTTATTTAAGCTCTATAAGATAATTAAAAAATAAATAAAAATAGGAAGATATGGGGAGGGTTGAAATATTGAAAAAAATACTAACTTAGAAAAAACACGATATCATAATGCAATCTTCAGGAAAAATCAAGTTTTATAAGGGGATAAAACCTATTGAATCTGAAAATAAAATCTAAATAAACATGGTGGTTTAAAGAGGGTTGAAATATTTAAAAAATCCTAACTCAAAAACAAAAAATAATATTAACTTAAAATGTTTAGCAAAAATTAAGCTATATAAAGGAACAACATCTATCAATTAAAAATTTTTTTTGACAAAATGGGAGGATAAAGTAGGGTTGAAATATTGAAAAATCCTAACTTAGAAACAAAAAACAATATTAAATTGAAATTATGATAAATCAAGCTATTGATTTTAAAAAAATCTGATTGAAAATGAGTGTTAGGGTCTGTTAAACTGTAAAGAGTATAATATATATTACCAAGCAATATACAGGGTGTTTCAAAAAGGTATGTCATAAATTCTTCCTCAGATAGATTACCAAAAAATAAGTGGATTTGGCTATACAGGGTTTTTCCGAACTTGGCGTCTAAAGTAGGGGTGGTAGTTCGCATAATTTGGGAGCGATTGGCAGATTACATTTTTCTAAAAAAAATATAGTAAACAAAATAGAGCCATTATAAAAAAATCAAAAAGCAAATCCTACCCTGAGCGCATAGCGCAATAGTCGCCTGATCGGTTACTGAAGATTTACAACTCAAAAACAGATGCGATTTGTAAATTTCTCCCTCCGCCCGACCGGTGTCGAAAGACGCTATACTTACGCGGGTTTCGGATTAACATAATTATGCAGTTCCAATAAGCCTCTTCCCAAGAAATTAGGTAAAATTGCCCTAATGGCCAGATTAGGGTAGGTACTAAATTTGTTACAAATATTGCAGTTGAATTGATTCTTTGCAAGTTTTGACATTGTATGTATATTGTAAATTAAGTGGAAA